TAAGGAAAAAGGATTTGGATTACTTAACCTTGATCATAATGCTAAGCATCATATAAGCATGCGCTTAGTAGCTTATTGATGCGTGCAATATGCGCTGCGCGCGGTAACGCGTACAGCGTGCGTTCACGTGCGTGGCCGTACGCACGACATGCGTGCACAAGTGCGTGCATAATGTACCTTGTGCATTTGTACCTTAACTTGATTTTTAACCTAGAACTTAGATACATTCTCAATAATTAATCCCGATTAATAATGTCCGTTTATAAAATAAGCGGTTCGGAAATTAATTATCGAATTAACTCGGTTAATAATTAACCGGATAAACTTTTCGACTTAACGTCGAACGTATTCGCTGAAAATGAACGGAATCGATAAAAGATAATACATCATTTCTATTAACAAAAATTTGGGTTATTACAAAATATTTCACCAACATAATATTATTGTACTCCTTTTTTCTAGCCCAACTTACAATTATGACTCCAAAAATAATTACTCGATTTATCTCCCATGTTTAAGATATAATGTACATTAATTAATTCAATTACTCACAATCAAGAATTAATTAATTTCTTATTATTTCACCGAAGCTACCGCTCGTTCATCACATTATTACTATGCCGGAATTTAATCTACCTGCAGGGTTTGGCACAATAATCCTTCATGAACTCACTCCGGGAACATCATCAAACTAAACGTACAAGGTGACAGTAAATATCATAACTGCACATCATACATGCATCAATATTACCCAAGACCGAGGGTCTATTGGTCCAATTCACTAAGTCTCACCCATGTGAATCAAAGTAATAAATACTACACATATATGTCGGTTTAATATCATAACTGCACATCATACATGCATCAATATTACCCAAGACCGAGGGTCTATTGGTCCAATTCACTAAGTCTCACCCATGTGAATGAAAGTAATAAATGCTACACATATATGTCGGTTTAATATCTTACGGGTTAAGAGCACGCAGTAGTTAACCGATGCCTAGTTCGTTGATGACGATCAGTATAAAACGAACTGCTCCTCTCTGGGATCCTGTTCAATACATAAATGTACTAGTTCAACTAATCAACCAAAAAAAAATTGTACAGTTGACATTATAACCGTTCTGATGGAGAGTTCATGTCCATCTAGGTTGTGAACCATTAATTCTTGTTTCGTGAGTAACTGATAGTATGATCTTCGGTTCTCTCGATGACGACCCACACTATCTAATGCAAAACAACAGAACGTAAAAATTGTTCAATCTAACATGTTTCTCATTCATAAAGGGTGAAAGTGTAATGTCATCCAAAGTCAAGCTTTTAGTATATAACACTAACAATTTGTGTTATTGTTTTATCAATTTCTCCTAAGTGTATTTTGTGTCTAGTGTTAATTGTTTAATTTGAATTGCATGAGTCCTTTTTGTGCTAAGTGTCAAATTTTTTATCCTAAGTGCCCAATTTAGTTCTGTGCCAAGTATTTTCTTATTGGCCTTAGTACATTGAGTTTTGAACTCCAAGAAAGCCTAAGATTATCTCGGCCCAAACTGAAATTCCTATCACCTAAGCCCATCACTCGGCCCATTCAACTCAAAATAATCGGAGCAAGAAGTTGCCTCCCTTCATCCCAAATAGCACAACTTCTTCTCGGTTTCTTCGTCCACTCGCCACATGTAGCCCTAACCAACAACCTTCCCCTTTTCTCGGATTACCACTCCGTCTCCCCAACTCAACTGCAACCACTGTAAGCGCAAGCCTCTTCCACATTTAAGCAGTAAGAGTCCTCAACGTCCTTATTTTTCCACCTCTAAATTCCTCTCAGCC